TTAATCTTTCAATTTTTATATCATACCATACGTATGTTCATATATATCATTGTTGTTAAGATTGCTACTCTACTCATAAGATCGTCCAATCTTACGAGTAGGGTGTTTTACGGCAATCCAGATAGTGCTTTTACAATGGAAAACTATGGTTTGATTGTGGGATTGATGAGCTAGAGCATAGAAACGCCGTATCAGCGTTTTGGGTAGATCTGCGCAAGAGAGGATCTCATGTCAGGTGAGCTACTAGATTTTCAAAGAGTGCCGAAGGAAAAAAAGTTAGGCACGAAGCAGCAGCATCACGGGAAGTTTATAAAAAAGGAAAAATTGTAAACTTACATAAAAAGCGGCATAAGAGGAAAATTAAAAACTAATAAGGAAATAAAAACTTACCAAGTGCCTGTATCAGAAGTCAGAACTCTAAATTAATGTTTTAGTGTTAAATGCCAACTAGTTCTATTGTTTCTTCAAAAGTAATTTTCATTGCAACTCTTCTTTCTCTCGTTTTTATTTGGTTGTTCAAGTCTTCTATTTCACCGCCAAAAGTAAGTCTTGTATTGTATAGTCACGGTATTATGTCATTTAAGTTATTACTACGTAATTATTATTCTTATTATGATATATAAGAACTTTGAGTATAAATGTATAAGGATATAAATATATAAATGTAGTTATAAACTTACATGATAGCTTGCATTCTAGGATATATGTGCGTGTCTGTTTATAAATACACACACATACAGGAGTGTATGTGTATTGTGTATTTGTGTTCAGATATATATTGAATAATTAAATCTTGCAAAACCCTCTATCCAAATATATTCTGAGTGCACTTACCTTGTCAGCCAATGGTCTACGGTGGTGTGGTTGTTCACGTTCCATATACTCAAACACGAGTTGACCATTAGACTTGCCATTTCCAGCTTCTACACCAGAAAACCTCATACTGGTTTCTTTTTTAGAGATGTTTCCGTTTGGTAACTCATCAGCAGCATCTTTCTTATCTACTTCACAGTTACTGCTGACACCATTGCTCATCTCTCTAGTTTCAAAATCCTTTTCTTCACTATCCCTCCTAAAGAAGCACCAGTAAAATTTTCACAAGAAGCAATGCAAATATATTTGATAGCACCCCAGCAAAAAACAGTATATTCTAAAACAAGTAAAAATCTAAAGATATGTTTTCAGACACCTGACCCAGGTTATCTCATAATGAATCTCAGGTTGAAAATAAATAAATTAACAAGTTAAAATTTTTCCTGATTTGCACTTGAACAAGAAAAGCTATTTGCTCAATTGAAAACCAATCCTGTATTCCACTGGAACTCCTTTTAGACACTCTCAAAAGTCTGGCAATAAGGTCTACCACAAAGAATTTAAGTAGCAAAGCTTTTAATAATTGACTTTCCACTATGGATCTTTTTCTTAGAGAACATAAGTGATGACATACGTAACCTAGCATTAAAGCATGACGAGCTAAAGTCATGCAACTTTTAATATTCCATACCTAGATATTACCTCTCAGCTTCAAAAACTCATGAGGTAATACGCCACATTTTTTTGTTATTATGTGAAACTGTAGCGGTGGTTTGAAACAATGATTCTATTCTTTCACATGCATGTAGGTAATATAACTTCCCACATGAAGTATTAGTGATAATTGAATGGTTAGATAAAAACCACATAAAACTAAGTGAAACGGTGATATCGTGATGGCCTATCAGGGATTAAGTGATGTATATATTGATGATATGAAGAAAATATGAGTCAGCCAGCAAAAGTCTTTCTCCCTCATCCCAAAAAGTCCTATTTGAAAACTTAATTTTGTTTGAAAACTGTATAACTAGAATTGATGATTTCCAAGAGTTGAACCTTATTAAATTTAAATAACTGTACCTTGGTAACACGTGACTCTTTTTTCGGGACGGGGGTCATATTAACTTAGAATCATGAAACAGGACTACAGCTCAGAATATGTTAACATGCCACAATTAGCATCAGCGAACAACTTATAAAGTGTTAAAAAGTAAAAATATTGGTTAGCAACAAAAACATACTGAAGTTTACCTAATGCAAGAAGAAGATGTCGTCGGATCATCTACATACAACTGTATCCCAGACAAAAAGGGAACATAATACTGTACAACTTGGTCTTTTCCATTCAACAATAGGGGCACACCCACTCCATATGCACTCCACTCACTAAAGGATTCCCAAAGATCCTCAAGGCAAAAATATGCACTTGAACCCGCTTCATCAGTTATCCCTCCTCTCACATTAACCTGAACACAGATAGCCACTAATGATCAAAACAAGATAAGCAATGGTGACACCATAAACACGGTGATTCCAGTATAACTCCAAAAGCATTCATCTAATATGAATACTGTGTACTGTGTACTTATGAAGAAAACAGAGTAATTCAAAGTGAGAAGCTAAAAATTAACAGCATCAACAACAAGACAGCAGTCTCCAACATAGTCAATGAAATAACTTGACTAACAATCGCTACTTTGATAGGATACAGAGACATTAATTAATAAATAAAAAATAGTCATTTTCAGGGCCTCATTATCAAAATATAACATGGTTACTCGATTTTTTCTCCTAGTGCCAAACCCTAGTTCTTTTATACCTCAGATAAGTGTCGAGCTGACAACAAGGGAGTAACCGACTCCAGCAAGCGATCCAAGTTGGTGACTTTAGTTGACCACTCTGGCAGAGATGAAGAGCAAGCTGATAACTTTTTAGCCAATGCCGTCACCGAATCGCCAAATTCAGCCGGATTCCCATCCTCAGCCGGCGCAGAAGCAGCTGCCTCGGCTTTCACGGGTCTCTGCAACAGCTGCTGCTGCTGCTGGAGTTTCATGAGCTGCTCTTGCTGCTGCAACAGAATCTGCTGGTGCTGACGGCGTACCGCCGGCGGGCTGTAGAATCTGTCTGCGCCGTGACTCCGAGAAACAGCAAAGCCTCCAGAATTGGACATTTTGATTTCTACTCTTCCACGGAACCCATGTCTGTAACACAGGTGCTTATGTATGCATGTCGGTATCAAACATAGTAGTCCGTGTGTTTTTAGTATTGCAGATTAAACTAATGTATAAAATCTCAGTAAATTTGTGGAGCCTGATTAGGGTTTTTTGAGGTTTTGATGATCTTTAGAAGCAAAAGTAAGGCTGCCTCACTGATTTGGCACATTTATTCAGTGATGATAAGACGCACTGGACAAACAGAGATTAGAACCACTTATGGTTAACAGGTTAACAGGTTGGTCTCCTTAATTAAATAATTAATTAATGCCACCGCTTAACTAATAATACTAGTACTATTTATGTTATTATAAATATTTTGTGCATAAACTTTTAGGTTAACAGGTTGGTCTCCTCGTATTATATTGGTATTGAGTCCTCATACTATTAAATCATTCAATTATATCCTCCAACTTTCAAAAAATGTTCAAATCCCACATTTAGCCGATAAATAACCGGTTAAAGGTTAAAAATGTACCTGTAGCACCCACGTGACAACTACTTACTTTTTCTGTTTTCTTTTTATTTTTCTATCTTTTTCTCTCCCCCTTTCTTCGCCCAGACATCTTCCTCCCAAGTCCCAAGCTTCAAATTGCACCAAGCTTTTTTTTTTTCATTTACATTTGTTTGTTCATTCTCTTTTACTACATAGTCTACATACTTCGTATTATATAGGGAAAAGGGGCAAATAAGCCCTCGAACTAACCAAAAAAGTGCAAATAAGCCCTTTTGTAGGAGGTTCTGTCCGGCCATCGTCATTTGAGAAGGTTCCCGGTGGAATTTTTTGATGAGTTTTTTTGAAAATCTTATTCATTAAGTCTAGTTTACTCATATCGAATTTCAGCTAAAAATTCAATCGGGAAGACAGTCAAATGAATTTTTGAAGATAACTGCGTAGTTAAACAACACAGTATATTTCGGAAAATCATTTGAGTGCCTTCCCGGTTGAATTTTTAGCTGAAATTTCATATGGCCAAACTAGACTTAATGAAGAAGATACTCAAAAAATTTCATCAAAAAACTCTACCGGGAACCTCTCCAAATGACGGCGACCGGACAGAACCTCTTACAAAAGGGCTTATTTGCACTTTTTTTATTAGTTCGAGGGCTTATTTGCCCCTTTTCCCTATTATATAACTCTTGATATACCCTCCCTCCATCTCCCTGATAGGGCGCTAGCAACGTGCAACTAGACCTGTCAATGGGTCGGGTTCGGGTCGGAACGTAGTGTTCCAGACCCGGACCCGCTAAGTAAATAAAGGATCCGGACCCGACCCGTTTACCCGGCGAGTCTAAATATTTGGACCCGGACCCAACGGGTCTCGGAACCGGGTCGGGTAGACCGGCCAAGAATCATATGCACCAGTGCACAACATTATATAATTTTTTTGACACAACATTGTATAATTTTTTAAAAATAGCAAAACATGTATATGAAATGTAAATCAAAGTGCACAAATTTAAAAGCAAAATATATCTCCACTTTTCAAAAAAAAAAATCAAGGTTTATCATATAAAATTAGTACTTTTATTGAATAAAATATCGTTTGTTGTAGATGCGTACAATTCCGCACTTTGTGTCTCTTTCTCTCCCACAGAAAACTCGTATATTAGACTAGAAATTAGGTCACAAAAAGTTCTTTTGGACTAAAAGCATATTATATACTATTATATTATCACTTATACATTAGGTATGTATTAATTTGTATCTTTTTAATCAAAGAATTAAAACTAATCACTTCATATATATATATATATATATATATATATATATATATATATATATATATATATATATATATATATATATATATATATATATTAGTTTGTTTTTTTATTTGAAGTATTATAACTAATCTCTTTATGTATTAGTGTATGTATATATACTAATAAGAAATTTTAAACGGGTCCGGGTCCTTAACGGGTCGGAATCATATGTTATATATCCGACCCGTTTATTAAAAGTACTAACGGGTCCGGGTTCGGGTAAACGGAATAAAATAAGGACCCATACCCGTTAAAAACAACCGGGTCCGGGTCTAGACCTGACCCATTGACAGGCCTACGTGCAACACCTGCACGCCGACTGCGGACTCCGGCAAAAGGCTCTGACATATGACTCCAGCAACAAACGCCGACAATGGCGTCGGTAAGCTCCATGCTGCTCATTCCCTCGCCACAGTGTCTCCCTTCATCAACAATCATGAATCCTATCGAAGCCCAAAGAGTGAAAGATATGAAGAGGCAGAGGTCTTTGGCAGTTGTTACCAACTACCAAATAAGAGAATCATTAGAGAAGAGAGGAAGAAGTCATGGATCTCAAAGAACAAAAAGAAAACTGAAAGAGAAAAAAGAAGAAAAGGAGAAGGAAATACAAGGGAGGAAATTGGTGAAATTGGGGGGGGGGGGGGGGGGGGTAGTGGCAGTTGGTGAGAGTAGACGGAGAACTCACTGGAGAATATGGATCTAGAGAGCAGAGAGACAAGAAATTAAAAAACTGAACAAGGAGAATGGAGGAAGAGAGGTAGGGAGGAAGGAAGGAGAGTCAAGAGAAGAAGAAAAAAGTTGCAGGTCGTACTCGTACAACCTGGGAGAAGGAAGGAAACATGGAGGAGAAAGGAGAAGGAAAGGAAAAAAAGAAAATGAAAAAAAATTGGTGCCACATAGGCATCCATGTCAGCAATTACCGGGAGTAAATATTACCAACCGGCCAAAACGTAAAATTGAGCATTTTTTATTAGTTGGGGGATTTAATTGGTTGATTTAATAGTACGAGGACTTAATTGACTTTTTAGATATAATAAGAGGACTTATTTGACAATTTTCCCTAAACTTTTATACTATTACAAATTAATCACTCAATGATTTTTATATATAAAAAAGGTATCATATAGATATACGGAGTACTTATCTTGAAAAAATCCAATCATTTTTCTAGCTTTTAAGTTTTAACCTACTACTCCGTATAACATTTTATTAAAAAAAAACTAAGGCGGATGATAAATTGCACTAAAATCACACGTAGTATAAATTTTAAAAACATAAAATTCAGCAAACGTCAAAGTACATAAATAATTTTAAAGTTTAAAATAAAAAAATACAATAATTAAAAACACAACCTAACTTCAAATGTAAAGATAATATTTTAAAGTGTTGATTATACTAATAATTCCTTAAAACACAATCATTTCTTGATTTGTTTTAACGAACTCATCTGATCAATTCAAAAACTTGTAAAATAATGGGATGGAATGTTTTTCAAAATAAGCTTGTTTCTCTGATATTTTTAGAAAATTAGTGCTCAAATTGTGATGAATTTAAAATATTAAAAGTGTCAATTTGAACTTTTTCCATATACCATCTCATATTTTCATCAGTTCACTTGTTAAGACACACTTGTAAAAATGTTTTTTGTTTTCTAGATATAAAAAAATAAAACAAATAAAAAAAATGCTTAAGAGTTAAGACCATCATTATCATGATTACCATGGTCACCTACAGTGGCGGACCCAGAAAGTCGGAGCCATGGGGTCCCTACCCTTTTATATCTCTAATCTCTAATTAATACTCCGTATAAAACTAATAAAAAAATATTAAAGAAGCATAACACTTCAAAGTTAACGTACACCATCAAAACATTAAGATATTATAAAGCAAAAAATAACATATAAAAATCATTCAACAATTCTACAGATGTACCCTCCTAGGCTTCATTTGTTGGAAATACTCTATAATAGAATCATCACTAATAGTACCAAAAACATCTCTCTCAACATATTTAACTAAGCAATCATTCAACAATTGATCGCAAATCTTGTTTCGCAATCTGGGCGACAGGGCGAGTCCGCGAGTGAGCGTGCGGCGTGGAGTGGTGGGCGCGGCTGGTGGTCGCCTGGTCTTTGACGGCACCACACGACGGCGTGGAGTGGGGACTGGAGGGCTGGAGGCGGAACGTCAAACTCGTGCGGAGGCGTAGCCGCGTAGGTCTAAAGTCTGAGGGAATCGATCTAGTGCTCTGCCCCTGCGTAACTGCGTTTAAGGATTGGCAACAATTAAAAAAAAGGCCAAAATGACGTAATTTTGGTCTATTTAATTAAAATAGTTTTGGAAAACAAAAAAGGAGCCCAAGGGGATTCAAACATGGAAACCTTTAATCCCACACATGCTCCCGTTCCCCTACTCCGTTCTTTTGGTACTAACGTCGTTTTTTTGTGTAAATATACATTGAATAATTAATTTTATATAATATACATAATATATATATATATATATACATTGAATAATTAATTTTATATAATATACATAATATATATGTGTGTGTGTGTGTGTGTATTTTTTTAGGTGCACGGGTCCCGGGACCCCGTGGGACCCTTAGTGGGTCCGCCTCTGATTGGTCAGGTAAGGAAATTAGAATAATTTGTCTAAAAATAACGATTGGCTAAAAATGTGCTTTGAATGAAGATGATGAGTTCTTAAATAAATGTGGAGTAATGTGAGTACCAGAAAACATTGAAACGTGGCACTCACGAAATTCTCAATATCTCCATTTCACTTAGTATGAGTGCAATATGACACATTCGATCTTGCAATCGGGTCATGCATATTGTAAAAGGTATACCTCATGAATAATGAATAAATATTTTAGACTGGTAATGATAATGAAAATATCACCTTTATGCAAAATAAATCAATGGCGACAAAGAATGGAACAATGGATACAATAAAAAGATTCATAACCTAATTAATTTCCAAGATGAGTTAATTGCATAAACACAAACATTGTGGTGAGTGATTTATTTAAGCCAATCCTTGCCAAAGTGTCCCACATCAGCCATATAATCTATTTTAAAAAGTTAGACAGACGTACGCTAACACCGAGATTACGAGGTTGTCAAAAGATCATTAGGACTCATCCGATTGATTTTTATAAGTAGGCGTATTTATATGACACTTTATTGGATACATGACTTTATATGACGATTTCATTACAGTAGAAAACTTTATTTGACTCTTTTCTCTCTAATAAATGTAGAAATGATCAAAACTCTCAAGACATGATGATCGGGTCATGCATATTGCAAAAGATATACCTGATGAACATAATGATAATGAGAGAGTTTAGAATGCATAAGATGGAGATGATATTTGAGACTAAAGAACAATTAGTGTTTCTATCTCCCTACTAATTAAAAGAGCAATATTCTTTTTATGTAGCCATACAAACAAAATGGAGCAGGGAAGAAAAACAAAAGCTAAATGGAGTACGAGAACGAATAAGATAATATGATCAGTAGTAGAGAATAACAAAGTTGTTGGGTTGTAAGGAATGATTTTTTTTATAGGAAACAAAGTGCTAAAGGTAAAAATTACAACTATAGGGAAAAAAAGTTAAAAGAAAATAAGCTAAGGGAAGCAAACTAAGATAAAGATTAAGCTTTCAAGCCCAATTGTGATTTATGGGTGTGTCCTCAATTAGGATTCCGTAGGATTTTAATGGATTGTTAGAATTCAGTTGTCCTCAACTTGGATTGTGATGGAATCTGTCAAAATCCGAGTGTCCTCAAAATGTCCATGGATTTTTTAACTCTTGGATTTCCATGGATTTTAAGGCTAGAATGCAAAGGGGAGAATACATCCCAAAATCTAACCATTACCTCCCGGATTTCGATGGATTTACAAACAAGAAGGAATGGATGAGGATTGCATCACCAACACCTGGTCGATTTTGTCCATCTGGGTCGTTTGCTTCTTCTCTAGTGTTCACTGTTCGTGGTCTGCGGGTTTCCCCGGTGTTATCCTTCCGGCTTTGGACTTGGTCTGGAAGAAGGTTCTCTGTTTTTGTTGGTGTTGCAGATCTGATTCTTTCCGGCGATAGGCGCGTGCTTAATAGGTTTTCCGGCTGATGTTTTGTACTCCTTCTCTAGCAAAGTGGGCTGGCCATAAGAGGGGAGGATGGTTTCCGAATGTACTTATTTCGTTTGGTTCTGGAGACTTTGGGATACAGTTTCGTAAGGAGGGTTGGAAAAATCACCCAAAATGCTTTAAATTCCATTCCATGAAATTCCAATACAATACCATAGATTCTACGGAATTCCATTCAATTCCACTGAAATCTCAATCATTTAAAATCTTTTAAAATCCTAAACGAGGACACCCCCCTTAGTTTGCATAGATGAAGCCTGAATAGCTATTTTTTTCTTATTACGCCGGGAAATAATTGGAGTGAAAGAGCAATCTCCAGTTATCTTAATTAAATCATTCTGTTCAACCAAAGCCAGAGAAGTCACCGAAGAAAAAAATGAAGAACCAACGACATCCGGCTCTGAAGTCTCGGGCTTCATTCTTTTGTTTAAAATCATCTGATCTGCCCTAAATTGAGTGATAAAAATAGTAGGCTTAGAGTTCTTGCCAACCACATTCTACTTGGGAGAAGAAACATTCTCAACTTCTTTAGCATTCTTTTTCGAGCAAGCATTTAGTTCCCTCGATGTATCACAAAAAGAAGAAATCAAATCAGTTGATGAGACCGAATTTGTCGATGAAGACACATCCAGAGTGATTGTCGGAGGAGAAAAACTCTCAATATCTGTTTGAAAAAGTATCCTAGAGATTGAAAAATCATTATTAATGTCCACCCTATCAAAACTTGACAACTCTGGTGCAAATTCTCTGTGATGACATAATGACATTGGCTCATAAAACCCCTTCAACAGATCAACGGCTCTAAATAATCCAACCAAGAAATCCCTGAAACATGATCCATATCTTCCTTGAGGAATAAAAATAGAGCCAATTCCTTTGTCATTGATCCGAATAAACCCACCATAAGAATTTGAATCAAAGAGAATTTTAAAGTTGCCCAACTCAAGTCTAGAATTCACCCAACAATCTAAAGAAATTTTAAGAATGGAATCCCTCAACCATAGTAAATTATCCCGATCAAACACAATTGAAGAAATAAAATCATATTTGACTTCAGAAATACGAACAAATTTGTCAAAGAAACTAAAAAGAATTTTTTTGCTTTCAATAACAATTCCAAACTCAGAAGAATCAAATGCAGGGTTCTGAACCTTGTTTCAGTCGCTAGCAAAGTCCCTGTAATCATCCGTTCTAAGCCATAATGAGAATTGTTAAACCCCTATAGCAGACCCTTGCGGTGACTAAGTTCAGCATCCCTGGAGCTTGAAATCTGTCAAGCTTAATCCCTAGAGCTTGAAATCTTCACAGCAAAATCCCTGGAGCTTGAAATCTGCCCATAATTCAATATGGAGTCCCTCACATTAGGTACAACTGGCATCCCATCCTTAGAATTACTCTGATTTTTACCCTTCGATTCCCAATTAAAGAATTGTGAGCTGATCCGTCCTGAATTATCTCTACGCTGAGGCATGTGAGGCCTCGATCCCCATCTGAAAATTTGATCATTAGAATCTCGACGAATAGCCTTACAATTGCTGATTTTTTATTCATGATGAACAGCCCATCGATCGCCGCGATGAACAGCCCATTGATCGCCGCGATGAACAGCCCATTGATCGCCGCGATGAACAGCCCATCGATCGCCACACTGAAC